AGCCTGCAGCTGCCCAGCAACCCCCACAATTTTTATATATTTGTAAACCACACAATCATCAGAAGACAATCTTAATTGGGATGCAGCACCAATATGAATACCATTGATAAGCATTTCAAACAATAATAGCCCTAAAACCAACCATTGTGGTACGCCACAACTAACTTTAAAAAAAGTGGTACGTTTCTTTATTTAAATCAACACATCGTTGACGCGAGGGTGACTAAAACTTTATTTATTTTTAGACGGTATTTCTATTATTAAATTTTCTAATTTCTGAAGTTAAATTTAATTGGATACAGTGCCAAACGTTTTTCTGTATTCCAGATATACACAGTCATTATGCTCCCCCCTATCAATAGACATAACAAGGTCGTGATAAAGCTCAGTCAGTTGTGTAGTGCACAAATAACCCTTTCTAAGCCCGTGTTGAAATTACAGAACTATATTTTTAAGACATAGATGCTGCATTATCTGGCTATATAAGATGTGCTGGAAGAATTTTCAATAAATGAATGTTAAAGAAATTGGTATGTACTGGGTGACCCAAGGAGCGGCCAGGCTCTTTAAATCGACAGCAAACTTCCGTTTCTTAACCGATCGCGCTACGATTCTGTGCAGCGTTGCCCACAGATGGCGCATTTTTTTTTTTTTTTTAATTTGCAAAGAGCAAGCTTTTCTGAGGGTCAAGTAAAGAAAGAAAAATGCTTAGCTCCTACGGAAACGCAGCGAAGCCACCGGTTTTCATACAATACGGCGCCGCTTCGCACGGGAGACCAGAGATGGCGCAAGCGGTCGCGATGCAAACTGCCGCCAACGAACGAGCATGCGGCGCTGAAAGCTGGCCTCTTTAGCAGACAATCATTTCGACTCGAAAGTGGCGCGAGCTCTTCTGATATCACTTTCCAATGCATTATTTTATAATCCTTACTAGTGAAACATATTGAATGGACAGATAATCGATTAAAAAAATGGTTTGTCGGGACATTTTGACTGTTTTTTCGGGGTACTGATGTCGTCTGCCTTGCAGTTCCTTGTTGTTACCGCGCCTGTTTTTGTTTCTGCGAGTGTCGCTGCCTACGGAACGCGCGCCGCTTTTGAGTCGAAACGATCGCCTTCTAAAGACTCCAGCTCTCGGCTCCGTATGCTCGTTCGTTGGCCTAAGTTGGCATCGCGCCCGTATGTGCCATCTCTTGTCTCCCGTGCGAAGCGGCGCCGTATTGCTTGAAGACCGGTGGCTTCGCTGCGTTTCCATAGGAGTGTTGCGGGCAATGTAATTCCCAGCGGCAAGAACACCGATTTAAAATACTCGCTAAAACCATGCGCCTTTTTCTTTCTTTGCTTTTTTGCCAAAATAAATTTGCTCCTTGCAAATTTTACAAAAAATGCACCATCTGTGGGCAACGCTGCACAAAATCGTAGCGCGATAGGTTAAGAAATGGAATTTTGCAGTCGATTTCAAGAGCCTAGCCGATGCTTGGGTCACCCAGTAGTTCGTAACATTTTATTGGGTCCCTTTTTGTGCACTGGGATCAAGTACACTAATTTCCAGTCGTCCGGTAATGCCGATTGAAACAATGATTTATTAAATATTATAAAATATATGGGACATCAGCGTCTGCACAACGCCTTAGCAGTGTAGGCGATATCTGATCGGTAACAATCGCTTTCGTTTCGTCTAAGCTTTTAATGTCCTTAATTAACCTTAAACACCAACCCCAGCGGGAGTAATTTCATCGTAGTTGACTAAAAGTGTTGCGGGCATTGTAATTCCCAGCGGCAAGAACACCAATTTAAAATACTCGCTAAAACCATGCGCTTTTTGAGTGCCAGCAGTCATCAGCTTGTTATTTACCTATATGTCAGGCATCTCACTTTGCATGGTTCTTCGCTTTTTGTTTTAGTTTGGTTGTGTCAATACTCGGAATGTACTTTTCTGTAAGCCGATTTATTATCTGCTTAAACAACACTCACGGATGATGGTCACTTATTTCTCCAGCGACATGTTCAAATGAAAGAAAGGCATTACAAAGCCCCGACTTGATACCCTCATAATTTGCACCTTCGTAGAAATATTTTTTTAAATTTCTATCTAACTTCATGCTTTTTTTTTTAACCAAGCGTCACGATTAAATCATCATGGTCGCCCATACCCAGTATGACATCGACGCGGTTAATGGTGTCAGAACGATTGCACAGAAACACGTCAAGTATGTTCGATCTACGCGTAGGTTCAATGACATGTTGTGTGAACACCAAACTCACAATCATGGGCTTCTTCGTAGATGCATTCAGCCGAGTCATTGTTCTACAACTACAACCTTCATCACTCCATGTTATGTCTGGCAGATTAAAAGCACCATTAACCACCACACACTCATGGGAAATACTAGAAATCAGTCCGCCGACGGTGTTTATACTAAAAGAATTCTAGTATACTAGAATCATTTTAGTATAAACACCTTTGACGAATATAAAATTCGTGCTATCGGGCCGACTCACCCGTCACCACAACGACTCGATACATTCCCAGCGATATTATGTTGATAACTTTGCAAATGTGTATCAACAGGCGAAAAGACCCCTCCCCCGGCTGGCGACCTATCTTTTCAATAGACGTTCAAAGATTTAGGGAACACCTGTTGATCTAAAACAGTCACCAAGCCATTATCCGGCCACGACAATAATATCGGCTTGAACAGATCTAATTGAACCGGACAACTTTTGGATGTTATTTTTTATGCTTCTACAATTCACGCTCATTACAATGACATCATTTCGTACCGCTTTCATAATATCGAAAGTATGCCATGTACGCTTCGCGTGTACTACAGCCTATCTTTCAATGTCCCAATAAAATAATTTTTCCATCGATTGGAAGCTTATCGTGCATTAGCTTTAATTTGCTTGGAACGGCTTTCCTTCTATATTTTGCTGATGCCCAAAGATGGCTGCGCTTTGCTATTATCTCGAAAGAATAGTCGTGAGACAACGACAGATTGGTACCCTTTATACGCACTTTTTATAAGTGCTAATTTTTACTAAGAGTAGAATACGTATTGATATTGGCCGCGTTTTATTTTCTTGGTGTCTACCGAGTCTTTGAACGTTTACCTTAGATGACACTTTTACCCCTGGTTGTGCATCCAAAATCTCAGTAAGAAACAACTTCTTTGTTCAGCATAGACGGAGTTTCGATGGAGTACTCAGCAAATCCTTAAATAACGAGTTTGTCTGGCTCTTTCAATTCTTGAGAGCCTAAAACCTTGCGCCCAATTCAGTGACATTCCCTCCAAAACGCTGAACAATATTGTCGCATCGCTCAAGGTCAGGCACGACTTCGACAACCGCTTGACTTTGGTTTCAATGGAGAATAGGCTCACTTCAATTTGGCGAATGGGCTCATCCAATTTCATATTTTACTAGTTATACTATTGTTTAAGGGTTTGCTGACCATCAAGAATGGTCGACTCCTGTTTATCTGTCAAAGGGCCAGGGTTGAACTCCCCATCACCGCTCAGCAATAGAGCAATGAGGCACAGCGAATCAAAGCAGTCGGCAGCACACTACAATAACACTCTCGAGCGAGGCAGCCCTACAAGGCAAACAAAATTTACGTTCGTAATTGCGTGAGAAGCTCGAAGCAGCCCTACAAGGCAAACAAAATTTACGTTCGTAATTGCGTGAGTAACTGCGTGAAAGTATTCATTAGATGGGCCGGCTCATTATTACGGATATAAAACAGAAAATATAGTTAATTTGCTAGTTCATTGGAATTGATCTAGAAATCAACTCTGCCCTATCCTACTACTGGTGATGTTCAGCATGGCGACCACAAATATGTGATTCAGCAAATAAAAATGTTGTTACCCCTTGGGATTTTAAACGTCTCTTTGAGGTTTTGCATTTCAAATTTCTTAAGATGACAGTCGGAAGTTGGTTACGAACTTTAACTCTCATCGGCACAAAAAGATATAGTATGTACACATTTACTTGACAGGTTGATATGCGAGTTTCAATCTTATTACTGATAGAACGGTAATTTTGTTCAGCAATTTAAATTTATTGCATTTATGCTCCTATTGCAACATAAATGCGCTAGTATTAGGAGGGTCCCTTGATATATCTCTCAGAAGTTCTTCGACAACATCTGGTTTTACAATTGATTCAACCACGACGGCTGGACATGCATCAACGTATGCTGAGAGATTGCATCGAGAGATAATAATCCAGCGGACTTTCGTGTAAAGCGAGAGCTTGAAGAAGCTTGAGTTGCAGAAAAGTCGGCGTTGGCGGGACAATTTTGATTAATCGACATGACCTCGCGCGTGAATTTCAAACAACCCACAACGTTCACGTGAGACGGGTTGTCACGCGTGGAATGAAATCGATTAAAACATGTGATGTATTTCAAATTAAAGGTCATCGTATGTTTCAAGTTGATTTGACGTTATAAGGTAATTATTTTCCTTTACGGCAAGGAATGTTTGTAAAAATTTACGTGGAGGCGAGGTTCGAACCCGCGACCTTTCGGTTGCCAGCTAGACACGCTAGAGACTAGGCCGCGCGGACACACTTGTACGTCTTGGAAACGAGCCGGTGTTTGTATGTTTAGCTATCGCGTTCCGCTCTTAAAGGCGAAAATGAAACGTCCAGCTGCTATCTTTTTTAAATAAATTAGGTTGCTTTATTTTTCACCACTCATGCATAACTATTTTACTCCCTTGCCCGTACCGAGCTTTTCTTTCACGTTATTATCTTTATATGTATTATAATTTGATCCTGAAAACCAGTCCAAGGTTTGCGTCACCTACAGTTTTGTTTTATGACTTTGAGCTATAAAGTGATTTATTATGTGCCTCGCATGTAGGTATGGAATAGGACTACGAACACATTTAAGTGAATTTCGTAACTCTTTGGAAAACCCTTTATAGCTCAAAATTTCACTGCATCGCCGCTCAGAAAACATGAAAACTTAGGAACAATAAGCGAAGTCGCACCTCGGATTAAGGTCCGATCCTTGCTGCATGAGAGAGCCGATGGCAAACCAGAAGCGATTTGTCATTCCGAGTTCCTCCGCTATGTCATCAAGGTCCTTAGGCTCGCAGTTTTCTCCAAAGGTGTGCTTGTTCTCCATGGGACTAAATCTGCCCAGCAGGCAGTACCACAGGCTGAGGGCCAGGTAGGCCGTCAACATGTACAGCCACACATCGACCGAGAAGGGGAACAGGAATGAAAAGAGCGGTGCGTCTCCTATGAGGGGCTTGCGGAACAGGATGCTGATGCCTGTGTTCATGAAGGGCATCGTGAAGTCGACGGCTTGTTCGCGCACGTACGTGATGGTTAGGTCGACAATTGCCATGTCCGCCTCCTGGAAAATTTTCAAAATAATAGCAGTAGGTCACCTTAAAGAAGCAACATTGTGAAATAATAGGTTGTATTGAACACTGGAAAACACAGTAAAGATAAAATTAACCTGTTGGCGTTTTACCGGGTGTCGTTTATAATTTTAGCGAGTCAAAACTTTATTTAAATTAATATGAATACTTTCTTAGCCAGTTTTTTTACTTCGCGAGTTACGCGCTTCTAGTATGTTCCGTTTAAGGGGGGATGTGGTGCTTTAGAGTAATTTTCTTATTTATGAAATATTGCTTATTATATTTTACATAGATAAAACACCAGCTCGTTCATATTCCAACTATGCAGTCAGATACTGAATATCTTTACCCGAGTTATGGGAGATCGGCACAATTTTATTAAATCATTCCTTACGGGTCATTAAAAAAGTATTCGTAAATATGAAATTTTTTTAATGCAACTCCATTTACACACTTGTAACTTGTGCAATGATACTATTTTAGATCTGACCTGAGTGTGTTATGTTACTAAAAACCGATTGTCATTATAGTATAAAAGACATGCTTTATTGTTATTTAAGACAGTAATTAATTGGATATAACTTTTAAGCTGGGAGACTATACAAATAGCATCGCCGCACAGCTCCATTCTTCCCGATGAAAATGGCACCAAACGTGTTAATATTGTCTAATACAAACTTCAGAAAACGTCTGTAAGGCATTGTTGCTTGTGAAAGAAGTGTGAAGGGAGAAAAAACACTTGAAGTACATATGTGTATTCCTACTGAATGTTTATACACAATTAATACTTCCTATTTCTTTTAATATTGAAAATTAGATAGAGCAATAATATTTTGTACAGAGCTCTGTCTAAATATAAGAAAAGCCATTTTCTAAAATGTTAACTTTTCCCAACTTTTAACCATTTAAAGAACAGTCTTCCGCCTTAAGTAGATTTGAATTTTTAATGGCGAAATTGTAAGTACGCCTTTCATTTTGTTTTGACCGGATCGTAAAAGGGGACCGTTACATAGAGTAACATCCTTGACAGTTTTGAGGGTCGCGGAAGTAGGAAGTTTTAGAAGGCCATGGGTGATTTCAGATAAGATCGACCAAAAGGTGGCTGGTCGACATTTTTAAATCAACTGATGTTTTTATATGACATTGTCTAGTGTCTGGTATAAACGAATCCACACTTAGTTTTGACCAGAAAAAAATTTGGAGACAAGAAAAATCGTAAGGCAGGGAGGGGTGGACAGTTGCAATAACGCGCACTGATGGAGGGGGCAAGTTTGAAAGTGAATAATTAAAACAATAAAATTAGGAAAATTTTAAAACTTTTTACAAACAAACTATGGGTACAACTTGCTTGTAATATAAAGTAATAATATTTATTAAAAATTTATTTAGTTTTCTAAAAATTGACAAACATGCCTGCTCGAACGACAAATGGCAAACTTTGGAGGTCTGTATCTCATGAAATAATTTAATCATTATGATATAATTTGCAGATATTATTCTACTAATATATAGCTAATATTTAAAAAAAATAACTAAGGTATCTGTGCGATACAATAGTTAGGATATATTTAGTCAAACATGGAAAAAAAATCAAACAAAAAAAATTCCGATGCGAATAAAAAAAAAACACCACCCTCGATTTTTTTTTAAATTTAGGTAACCTGTTATACTCTATTTTGGCATTCATTTCCATTAAAACATGTTGCATCATTTTATTGAGAAAGAAGATACAACTCCCCAAAGTAGGGTCCTTTTTCAAAGCCTACACTTAGCAGTGTTTTATACAAGAACTGACTCTGAGTTCCAGTTTCATGAAACCAACACACATCTTTTATATATTTTTATTCAGATGAGGCCAATGATAACTAAAGAAATCGTTCACACACTTAAATTAAGGAGAAACTACTGTGTACAAAGAGGTATCATATTACGGACTAGTGATCCGAGAAAAGATCATGCAGCCATCGGCCACTAGGAACTTTGTTTACTTTATTCTCCTGCGACACTATATGCTATTCCCTCTTCCGCTCTACCTTCATCTCTCTCTCTCTCTCTTTCTCATGTATATCCCTGATATATATCCAGAACAAAAACATGTTCAAGCATTCCCTTTCTGCGTGGTAGTGTTCTGTGGCTAGCAAAAATCATTTCCTCGCTAAGCTCACGATTATGGCAAAATAGTTGCCGGAAACCGCAGACGACACTCGTCGCTAGTTCTGGCAAAACGGCCAATACAATCTTTTTTTCGCATTTCCCCGCTCGCTGTGAAGGACAAGGGGGTTCGCTTCAACCAGCAAAACATAGCCGCCGACGCCTGTTTACTGAGCAGTCATGCCTGTCGCCATCTCACTCGCTGGCGTCACGGGCGATAATATCAGGCACAAAGGGGCACACCAACCGGCAGCATTATCCCCAAATACTCGATCCTCGCGTAAATACATAGAGTGTAAACGCTGTCGCCATGTTATCGTAGTAAGACCGCCCCCCCCCCCCCCCTCCCCCAACGGGGGACTGCAGTACGCGACGGCGTACTAACACAACGGCGACGATATCGGCATCGCGGGCTCCGAATTTTCCCATAGTTCTACTCCACGGGTATTTCTCGAAACGCTTGATATTGTGTACGCCCGCCTGGAAGGATTTCAGGCGCGTAGTTAAGATAAGGCGGTTCTCCGCGGCAAAAGAAAGCAATTTCACAAAAGCTTAAAAGCGGCGGCGACGCGTGTGCGGTGAACGCTTGTAGTTTTGGTGTAGACAGGGTGTGTGTGTTCTCGTTGTTGACACCAGCCGGCGATAAGGCACTGCAGGCGGTAGCTCAGTACAGCAAGGGCTTATCCGAGTGACCATCAACGTAACCCCACCGCCAACCCCTCGCGAACCGGTCGCCGACATGGCTCAGGCTGTGTCATGAACCACGTGGTAGAAGCTCGGGTGCTTTCATATCAGCGCGTGGAGGGACGACAGTGCGATTCCGGAAAGTCTTTTTCGAAGGCCGCTGACCACAATTTTTTGTCTGGAGACTTTCCCTCTTTCTTCCTTTGAAGTGGATCAAGCTTTGCCGACAGCCTCAGTTGTGACCTCTCTTTTCAAATGTACGTTTGCAGTGAGTGAGCTCCTCAGCCTCGGACTTGTCACTTGTGCACCCAGTAGTTCTTTCACTTGGCAATTATATGCCATCAGTTGGGGTTTAATTTCTATTATTTATGTATACATTATGAAGACGTCCTGGAGCTCCGAACGAGTGTTTTGTGCAGATTACTTTTGCAAACACAAAAAGACTATACCAAACCAGCGGAATTTTCGAAGTGTTGGCGAGTTGGACCTAAACTCGTTGAAGCAAATTCTTCCGCCTGACTGTTCCACCAAAGTGAGTGCGACGGACTACCTGTGCTACCATTGCTTCATGCACATCACTAAGGAGATCTCGATGCGAAGCTCAGAGCAGTGCCCTGACGTATTTGTGCCAGCTGAAGAAGCAATTGAAGATCTAAATCGCAGCATACTACCTACAGATCTGTCGCCGCTGAGACAACCAAGCGTCGTAAGAAGTCGGGACAGGCCGGCCTATGTCAAGAGAAAGCAGACAGAACTGGAGCAGGTTGCTGTCAAGAATATACGCTCAAGGCTACGTATTGCGTACGACAGGGACGCACCATCGGGGTCGTCCGAACCAACATGCTCCACATGCACTGAGTGGGTGGACAACTTTCGGCAGGCCTTTGAAACCGCCACCTCTCTCCGGGAACGTTGTCAACTGCTTACACTCCTGCCGTCAACACTGACGAAGAATGAGGTTCAAAAGATGATTCCACAGGCCTCAATGTACCTCATCAGTAAATCCCGAAAACTCAAGGAAAAGCATGGCGTGTGGTATGAACCGGATCCTTACACGAGGTACAAGGTGAGCCCTGAGAACCTGTCTGCTGCCCTAGAGTACTTCGCGAAAGACGAGCTACAATGTTCGCGCCAAAGTCCCAACCAGAAGGACGTCATCTCTGTCATGCTCAACGGAGAGAAAACGTTCGTGCCAAAGCGCTTCATGACACGCTCAATACGAGAGGCCTTCCGTATATACAAAGACAAGCATCCCGATTCCGGCGTTGGGCTAACGAAATTTTATTCGTTGCGCCCTAGATGGGTCTAATGTATTCCACACCAGGAAGTGTGCGTTTGTGTGCGCTGCGCCAATTATTATCTTTGTATTGCCGCTCTAGAGAACGTTACAGGCTCAACATTCAACACTGGTGAAATGAACTCGGTCTTTCTGTGCGACCCAGCAACAGAACTGTGCCTTCAAGGAGACTGTGATCACTGCCCAAAAGGCCAGTTTCTTACACTCCAGGAACTTGATATCCCGGAGGATGAAGAGATTGTGCTTGCAACATGGGAGTCCGGCGACCTTGTGAAAAAAACTTTGGAACCTGAGTCTTTCCTAAAAGTCATCCAAGTGACGGTTGGAAGTTGGGTACTTCACAACCATATCCGGCAAACGCAAGGTAAAGCGATCTACGATGAAAAACAGTGCATGCAACGCGGGAGCATTGTCTTTCATTTTGACTTTGCTGAAAACTGGACCATCGTGCTTCCTGACGAAGTGCAAGCATATCACTGGAAAAAAAAACAAGTTTCGATATTTACATGTGTAGTGACGACAAGAAAATCTACAAACAGCTTTGCCATCATCAGTGAGGACCTGTGTCACGACGCCGCTCACGCTTGCCTGGCTCTAGAAAAAGTGAAGGAGTGGGTTGAAGACAACGTTGCGGTATACTCGTACGTGACGTACGTAAGTGACGGCGCCGCCAGTCATTTCAAGAATCGCTACCAGCTTCACCAATTTGCAAAGGACGATTGCCCACAAGCCCAGTGGTTATTTTCTGCATCTGGACATGGGAAAAATGCATGTGACGGAGTTGGCGGACACGTGAAGCACCAGGCCACGCTGAACAACCTGAGAGAACGTTCAGTAAGCGCAATTCAGACGGCCAGGACA